AAAAAAAAAAAAAAAAAGAAACCAAAAGTTACCATTATCAGGAATGAAAGAGAGGACATCAATAAAGATATTGGTGATGTTAAAGGGATAATAAAGAATATCCTAACTTAGTGCTGATAATTTTCACCGCTTAGATGAGATGGAAAATTCTTTGAAAAATACAAATACAAAGCTGACACAAGAAAAAAAGAAAATCTAATGATCACTATATATATTACAGAAAGTAAATAAGCAGTTAAAAATTTTCTTACAACAAATTATTGGTCTCAAGGGTTTTCTTGCTAAATTCTATCCAACATTTAAGAAAGGCAAATCTTACAAAAACATTTTCTGAAGACAGAGGAGAATACTTCCAACTTATATAATTCATAATGACCCTGAAAACAAAACCATGCAAGGATATTATGGAAAAGAAAGTTACATCTGCTCTGTGTATGAAGTAGCCATCCTTTTATTCCTTTACTTTCTTAATAAACTTGCTTTCACTTTGAAAAAAGAAAATTACAGACCAGTATCTCTCATCAATGTAGGTATAAAAACCCTCCATGGAACTGAAATTCAGCAGCAACTGAGTTGGAATTCAGCAAACAGAATTCAGCAGCAAAAGACATGATAACTAAGTGGGGGTTTATCCCAGAAATAAAAGGTTGATTTAACATTAAAAAATCAATGTACTTCATCATACTAGTAAAGGGGAAAAATCATATGATCATCTCAAGAGATCTCAAAAAAGCATTTAACACTCATTCATTATTTACACTTACTTTTTAACAAATATGGTAAATTTCCTCAGCCTGATAAAGGGCATTTAGAAAAAGCCAACAGCTAACTTAATGGTGAAATAATGAATGCATTCCCCCTAAGATCAGGAACAAGGCAAGGATGCCACTCTCACAGCTTCTATTTAACATAATACTAGAGATGATAGCAGGTATAGTAAGACAAAAACAACAAAAAATAAAGGGCATATATTGGAAAGGAAGAGGTAAAACTGTCTCTATTCATAGAAATCATTATGCAAAAGTCCTATGAATCTATTTAATAAAACCTACTAGAACTAATAAGTGAATTTAGGAAGGTCCCAAGGCACAAGATTATATTGTGTATCAAATATAATTGATAGAGAAAATAAATTCTAACTCTATATACCAGCAACAAATAACTGGAATATGAAATTTAGAAAATTACTATTTGTAACAGGATAAAAAATATTTAGAGATAATTTTAATGGAAGATATATAAGACATCTACACTAAAAACTACAGAACAGTTGAGAGGAATTAAGGAAAATCCACATAAATGGAGAGAAGTACCAGGCTTATGCAATGGAAGGCTCAACATTGTTGGGATGCCAGTTCTCCATAAACCTGTCTTTAGTCTAATGTACCCCAAATCAAAATTCCATTGTGCATTTTCTGGGAGAAAGTAACAAGGTACTTCTTAAATTTTATGGAGCAGACCAGGACCTAAAATGGTCAATACATTTTTGAAAGAAGATAAAGGGATTAAAGAACTATTATAATTTCAGAACTTGCTGTAAAGCAATAATAATTGATGCAGTGTAGTGTTGGTGTAAGGAGAGACAAGTAGAATAAAAGAAAACAGAGCTCGGAAATAGGCCCACCCGTATACAGTTAGCTGACTTTTGAAAAAGCCGCCAAATACATTAGGAAAATCTTTTCAACAAATGATGGTGTAAGCTATATGAAAAAGGAACTTCAACCCGCAACTCACACAATACAAACGAATTAATTTCAGATGGCTCATAGACCCAACAATGAAAGCTAAAATCATGCACTTTCTATAAAAATATAGAGCAAAATAACTTTGTGACCTTGAGGTAGGCAAAGGCTTCTTAGTTATCTTTACAGAAATAAAAAAATATATATATTAAGGAAAAGACTGATAAATTGAACTTCACATAAAAATAACAAATAATATAAAAAGCTTCTGCTCATCTTAAGACATTATTAATTAAATGAATAAGCAGGCCACACACTAGGAGAGGATATCCATAATACAGATAATCTGACAAGGACTCCTACAGCTTAACAATAAAAAGACAAATATCCAAATAAAAATTAGAACACTTGAAAAAGATACTTTATAAGAACACATATATGGTCAGTAAAAACATGTGAAAGTGCTCAAACTTAGACATCAGATGAATAACTGGAACCACAATAACATACTAATACACATGTTAGAATGGCTCAAATTAGAAAGAGTGACAATACCAAATATTGGGGAGGAGATGGAATGGCTAGAGCTCTTGTACATTACTGGTGGGAGTATAACATGGTACTTTCAAGAACTATTTGTAAGCTCTTTATAAAATTGAATATATAGCTGCCCTATGACCCAGCAATTCTACATCTCAGGAGAAATGAAACACATCCATAGAAGGATTTGTGCCAGAATGTTCGAAGCAACTATATCCATGGTGGCCAGAAACTAGAAGCCCAGATGTCCATTAATAGAAGAACGGACTTGTGAATTATGATATAATTATACAATGGACATGTGAATTATGATATAGTTATACAATGGAGTACTATTCAGCAATGGAAAAAAACAAATTATTAATACATGCATGAATATGGATAAATCTCAAAAAATGCACTTGAAGTAATCCAGGCCCAAAAGAATGCATGCTATATGACTGCATGTTTATGAAATTCTGGAAGAGGCAAATCTAATCTAGTGATGAGAATCAAAATGGCAGAACATTCCCTGGGGAAGAGGACTGACTGGGGAAAAGAACCAAGACTTTCCGAAGTGACAAAATCTACACATACATATCCCAATATCTCATTGCCAACACAGCCAAAAATGAATCCATTTCTTTGCATCAGTGTTTTCACAGTGCCTGGCTACCCCTGTACACCAGGTGATATTTGGTGCACTTAAGGGTTGAGAAAGAAATCTCGCAACTAGGGATTTTTAGAATCTCTAAGTTTTGTCACCAAGCACAATTTGTCTTTAATTTTACAAACAGGAACTAAAATATGTCTAAGAGAAGTAGTTTTTTAACATAAAGTAAGACAACAAATAATGCCACTGTTTTATACTAGAATAAATGTAAAAGATTCCTATTAGTACTAAAAAAAAAGCATTTCTGTCTCTGGATAGACTTGAGGACTTGCTGGCTGGCTGAAGAACGCATAAGTACTATGCTTCTAATTTTTGTCTCAGCTGCCAAGAAGTTCAGAGCCAAATTCAATGCTCAGTTTAGTGATTAACATCCCAGCTGCCTGAGATATCAATTTTTCTTGGGGTAGGATATATAAGGAGGGATATTAAATTATCCTGTTTCATACTATAAACTACCTCAAATCATCTAGGGGAAATGGTGTATAAATCATATAAAATGTTGGTCATTTTGACAAAATTAAATATTTTCTCACTGCAAATATAAATGCATTGTAGGCTTCTTGTCAAAAAGGTTAGATTAGGGAGGATTTTTGCTGTTATTTGACTGAGTCATCTGCTAAAGGTGAGTCACTATCCACCCAAATGATTGAGTGATGTAAAAAACACATAATTTAAAAATACAACCACATTTGCAAGGAAACATTACACTTATATTTGATTATAAGGGTTAGACTCGAGGAACCAATGTAGAAGTATAGAATACGTTAAGAGTCCCTAATGGATCATAGATGACAAAAGAAATTTAAGTGCACTTCATTATATTCTTAGGATAAAGAAATCAGCTCTGTATGCAAATGTGCTTACTGCTATTCTGTTTCTGTGATAACTGATGTCAGCAGCTTTGATTTTATCAGCTGGCTAGGATAGTTTCTGTCCCTTTTCATTTAACAAAACCACACAATCTTGGCCCTTAGGAGAAAATAAGGTGTTTTTATTCCCAAAGGGCATATTCTAATGTAACATTAAGTTAAAAAAAAAAAAACAAAAAAACAACCCACCCCTACACAAACAACCCTCTCACCTGAGCTGCTTCATTGTTCATCAACCCCATTAGCTTCTCCTCCTCTTGCACTTTTTTCCATGATGCACAGGACTCAGCGCTTCTCTCACTGTGGACTTTTTTTCCTTTTGACCTATTTTGTGCCTGATTGACTTGCTTTGTTGCAGCCTTTTGTGAATCAACCTGTTGGTATAAATAAGCAATAATATATAATGAAAACTTTTGGTATTTCTTTTAAAAAAAGGCATTTATGCCCAGATTCTTAAAAATTCTAAACTTGCCAAGCTTTAAAAAAAGAAATAAAGAGGAAAGCAACAAATGGACATTATACAAAAACTATGGTCATTGGCAAGATCCAGACCCTTTCTCATCAATGGGACAAGACCAATTAAAATTAGTGTCACTGTTATGTACTCTTTAGAAATTATCTCTACAGATAACTTGCTTACTGAAAACAACATTTTTAGAGAAAATTGTCACATTATAAAACTGCACATGAATTCATTATTAACCTTTGCTGGGAGTGGATCCAGTATATCTCTGTAGTTTAAATTCTTATTAATTAAAATCTTAGTTTTCTATCATTGAAGTAAGCCTAAGTAATATGTAAAAGCAGCTTGTGATGTTGCTTACTTTTTTGTGCAGGTAGGTTAACCTTTGAGCAAGATGAATAACAGTTCATGTCATCAAATGTACCAGTGTCAGAGGTTAAGTTCTACAAGCTTGCTGTCTCTAAGGTTTCTTTTTCACACCATAGTGATATCTGGGAGATGCCCGACTCTCAATAACCTTGAAGTAGACTCAGAAATAGAAGGGCAGAACCCACAATACTGCTGGAAGATTGAAAGCTACAGCAAAGGTCCTTATATGAAGTATTTGTTCAGCAGCTTCATGTTTATGGCAGCTGAAAGTGCCATCACCTTTTTTCATGGGTTAAATAGGGGGCAGAACATAGGATCAGCACAAAGGGGAAATAATGGAGTAACCAGTGCCAAAATAGAGAATGAATTACATTGGCTGGGCAAGCAGAGCCTTAATTCGTAGTCTCTCAATTTTTAGCTTTCACTGCCAAGTGTGTTCACTTCTCCTCTTCAAAATATGCTGGTGTTTTGTGGCGAGGTGTAAATTGTCACAACAGCACTCTTTATTCTCCCCTCCTCCAGGATCCCAGCTTATAAAAGGATGACAAAACCACTGCCTTTCAGTAACTTGCAAGTTGGAAATGTTTCTTAATCATGCAGGGATTCTTTATTTCCACCACTCCAGCCTCCAAAACTGCTGGGGAAATTTATGTCACCATCTTCTGAGCCACTTTTCCACTGAAGTCATCTTGGAATGCACCTCACACCATTAGCGTGAAACAAAGGGTCTCCCAAGGTTCTTGCATACTGTTTTATCCTAATAAAATATTGGCTTACCAATCATTGTGAAAATGTGTTCCATGTTATAAATGGTTAGATGAGATTTTCCCTCCCAGCTTTATTGAGATATAATTGAGAATAAAAATTATATATATTTAAAGTATACAACATGATGTTTTGATACATGTATACATTGTGAAGTGAATACCACAATCAAGTTATGAACATATCCATCACTTCACATAATCACAATTTTTTTGTGTGTGGTGAGAATACTTAAGATCTACTCTCTTAGCAGATTTCAAGAATACAATACAGTATTATTACAGTCACTGTGCTGTATATTAGATCTCCAGAACTCATTCATCTTATTACTGAAAAAGTTTGTACCCTCTGACTAGCATCTCCCCATTTTCCCCAACTCTCATGCCAACAACTACTGTTCTACGCTCTGCTTTCAGTTTAATTTTTTTTTAGATTCCACATATAAATGACATCATATAGTATTTGTCCTGTGTCTGGCTTATTTCACTTAGCATAATGTCCTGCAGATTCATCCATGATGTTGCAAATGTCAGGATTTCCTTCTATTTATGGCTGAATAATATTCCATTGCGTATGTGAATACATATATATACACATATATATGTAACATTGTAGTTACAAACCACACTTTATCCATTCACCCATTGACACACACTTAGGTTGTGCCATATCTTGATTATTGGGTATAGTGTTGCAATGACCATGGGAGTGCAGATTCCTCTTTGACATCCTGGTTTTATTTCCCTTGGATATATAACAGGAAGTAAGGCTGCTGGTAGTTCTATTTTTAGCTAAGATATTATTGAAGGTTTTAGTGCCTCCTATATGCTAGGCATTTTAGGTATAAGAGTTTTTGCCCTGGAAGCCTCTGACGAATAAGCAAAATTTGATATAAGATATTCAATCCTCTGTGAAGGTTTCTGGAAGAGATGATGCCTCCTGGATCTGCTGTTAGTTGGCTGAATGCTTAGGCTGTCCTGCCGTGGGCACTGCTAGCTACTAAACAAAATGATAACCAATTTATGGATAATTCTATTTCTAAGGAAACTTTCTAAGAGTGAAGTGGGATGATAGTGAACACAGTGAAACTTTTTCTCAAAGATAAAAAGTAAATATAGAAAACACCCCGGACCTCCCTTATAATAGAAGGACACTATACAAGTGTGTGACATTTTCAAGAAAGTAGCTACACAAATGAGGTAGTTTTTATTCAATTTTCCATTGGAACTTCACACTGTTCTATAAAATCAAGAATACCTTTGGACTTCTAAAAATTAATAAACCAAAAATGTGCTTCTAATTAAGAATTTGTACTTCACTTTCCTCATATACAGAAAATAAACATAAAGAGAAGTTCATAGAATTATTTTGAGACTTAAAGCTTAGGAAAAAAGTTTGTAAACTGTTGAATTCTATACAAATCATACTACTACCAATAATAATATATTCAACCCTGGCTATGCTATGGGAACCTCAGGTTTAAGGTGAATGAAGGAGTAAACTTTTATTGTCTGAAATGGAGGATAGCTTGAATGTTTTAGCTCTGATGTCAGACTGCAGCTACTCCTCTGCTTGGGTCAAACATTTAGGAAGGATGGGAGGGCTCATTATGCCCAAGTGTCTACACTATTACAATATAGTAACATATTATATGATTGCATATTGTATATATGATTCAGGCACCATAACAAGGTGGGAGTCATTGATAAGCCGGTAAAAGGATCCTCTGGTCATGAAAAGTAGCTTATTCATGGGTCAAAATGGGGCCTTTAGTAATGCTCCTTTCCAACTTGGCTTTAACATTCTTATCTGGGAATTCTGGAGCTTTAGCTCACTTCAGTAAGCATACTTACTGAAATATGGTTTCTTTCAGTGAGTTTTGGACATGAAATCCCAGTGGGTGGCATAAAGAGGCTGTGGTGGACTTGATGAGAGAGTCTTGTAATTTGATTGGTGGTGCTGATTCAGGAGCCAGTGACTTCTAGCAAGAACTACTAGCAAGTGACTTCAGTTTCACATCCCTCATTTTGAGTCAGGAAAATAACCCAAAGGATTTTTCAGGAAAAAATATCAACATCACTACTCTCTTGACAAAAATTCATTTCCAATTTAACTCCAATAACCATATTTGAGAACTTTTCTGTTCAGGTTTACAGATAACAGTTCATAATGTCTAGTAAAATCCGGTATTGGGGGGGGAAAAAAAAAAGCTTTTTCTTTTGCAAAAAAAGGTGATGTAAGTTTGGTGAGATTCTTATGGCAATGTGTTACCTTCTAATACCTAATCAAAACACGTTTCTCTTAAAAATATTATATTCCCCTCTGTATAAGTTTCACTTGTTATTAGAAAAATAACATTTACAAGATGTAAACATTCATAACTTTTTTCCCTTGAATACTGAATGATGGTAACATTTTATTTATATATGTATACCTTTTCTGTTCCAATGTCTTTCTTTAAAATATATTTGTCCAAAAAATGTACTAGTCCAGAGTTCATTCACTAGTCTGTTAAATATCTCTACAACTAAATATTGAACTTCATATAACTATATTTATAACTTCATATAACTATATTTATAATTTCATATAACTATATAACTTCATTTATAAAGTAACATTTTTTGTTACTTTATAAATGGGTTCTGAAGAAATGATTTTAGTTACTGATAAGGGAATTCTGTCTGTGACTAAAAAGAAATTTGGTGCCATGTGATTGATACGCATTTTGGAATGATTTTTGTTAAGGAAGCAATTTAACATGGAAATTATTCTGTATGTGCATCATTCAGGAGAACTGAGTACAGGATAGTTTATACTGTCATACTTTGCATTTGAACATTTTCAGGTTTGGTTTTTGTAGCATTGTAAAATTTGTAAACTTTAAGAATAAAAAGATACTTAAAGTTTAGCCTCATATGATGAGCCCATATCTTATGCTATAATTAAAAATATATGTATGCACTTAAAAATACTAGAGAAATAAGTCATATATAAATATTGATCTGCTGCAAAATATATCGCCTATCATCTTACTATCCATACATCCAGACTGATCACATTTGTTAACAAATTAGCAAAGGTCTTAAAAGCGTATATTAAGTGTTTTTTTTTTTTTTTTAAACTCATAATCAAAATTTTCTAATCAAAAGGAAGGAGTAAAATATTCTTGATGGAGGCTCATTGGAAAAAGTGTTTTATATTCTATTCTCTACATATAAAAATGGTTTCACAACAAACACCCTTTGAATTTGATGAAACTGAAAATTCTGGTGGATAATAATTAGAATTTTATATCAAGAGGATATAGCTATCGGTTTTTAGTATGGCTTCTTTTATATTTCAATTAAGTTTATGAAACTGAAAAACTACAAAAAGGGAAAAAATCTACTTAAATTAGCATAGATTAAGTGGTGACCATTATTGCAACAAAAATACTACGTCAAGGAAATGGCTCTTTGTTTTGTTGCAAAAGTGATAAAAACACAAAAGTCAATAAAACTGTTAAAATAAGTCTCAGTAATTACCAAGATCAAAATCCAGTGGCTTTTTATTAAACATGAACTTTTGTTCTGCCTTCTGCAATACGTAAATAGTGCTGACAATTGGTTTGTGAGGCACTTGCTACAATAAAATCTAATTGTATCATGAGAGAAAGGTGACAATCAGGAGATCATGAAAAAATTACATATTCTCACTGGTAGTTAATTAGCCATGCAAAACCTCCTCAAACAGATATTCTCTTCTATTAGGAATGATTACTATGCAGGCCTACAGATGTCAATACCACAGTCATTCAAATACTTCTTTTCCTACTAATTGAAGGTTGTAAAGCTCTGGTGCCAAGGTTTTGCTTCCAAAGAGCTAATTTATGACTAGAAGGATATTTTATGTCTTCAGTTGCAGCAGCTACAAAATTCAGCAAATCAGAACCATCTGTGCACTGATACTTGACTCACCATTCATCTAGCAGCCTATCAGTCACATTAGTTTGCATCCTGCATTCTTGGCTCATGAACACGTGTGATGATCCAAAGTTCATAAGAAATATTAAAAACGAATGGCATCCTGACCCTATCTTATTGTTCATGCATCAGGAAAAAAAATGCCCTCTACACTTTATTTTTGCATACAGACAGTGGTCAGGGAAGACATGGATGCTGAGTTGCCTGTCCACTAATCTTGCTAATGGCAGCCTAAGATTTCCACCACCCAATTAAAAATGCTCAAAATCTTAATTTCTTTTTTTTTTTTAAGTTGGTGTTGGTCTTTTGGAAGATGGCAGACTAAAAGAAGAGGTGTAGCTTTAAAAAAATGATTTTGTTTTTAAACCTGGATCTCTGGCATAAACTTTTCTGTAAACAGTTGTTTCCATGGATTGAAATATCAGCATATACAAATAATCTGGTTAAATCTAAGACTATTATCACCACCAAATTATGGCCACATTGGTAGGCAAAAACAGAGGACAATATCTAAAGAAAACCTGAAGAAAAGCAGCAAATGATGGCTTTCATCAGTAACATCAGACTAGCTTTACCCTAGTCACATTTCGATGACAGTAGTGACTGCTTTATTTCTTTCATAGTACACAGTAGGCCACAGATCCTATTTTTCTCTATGAGACAACAGGTCAAAAGAACTTGGAACAAACTTTCTTCGTGCTGAATTAGGGGAAATGGGAGTTAAATTTAAGGAAGAAGAAACTTAGTTGTCAGACTTATTTTGAGACCTAAAACAACTTCATCCGATAGAAAAGTATCATAGGAGGTAATTATAGGATAGCAGGGATTATGTTACTTACTTTTTGACTATTTGGAATATGCACATTTATACTTTGTCCTTTTGTGGAAAATTCCAGTGGTCCCAAAGGTATTCCATCAGGGTTCAAAATTTTCTTGAGCACTTGATAGTCTGGCTTTTCATCATATGCTAAACTATGAGCACATACCAGAAATTGGGCTATTTCACCTGTGAATTATCAAAGTTTTTACATGTCATTCATAATTGGCAAGAACTGGGAAGACTTCAATAATCTCAAAATCTTTGTTATCT